ATTTGGTTTGCAATGAAATACAACCAATACTTCACTAACACTAGAGTACATGTGTTTCACAATTAATTTTATTTATTGAAATAATAAATTTACATTTTATTGTAAGTATTTTAAATTAACTAAACATTGACATTTGAAAAATAGCAATTATACTTTACGTACGTATATAAATTATAATTGTAATTTATTAAGCGTTTGACAAATTAATATGTAATTAAAATAAAAAATTTATATTTTACTTACTAGTCTGATTACATAATATTATAATATATTTTCAGGGTCAATCAATAAGTACATAAGATTCATAACTATCAGAAAATAAGTGATATTTTTAAATAATTAATAATATGAAAAATTATGTAATTGTTGAATCTTAATAACATAAGAGAATTCACTTATTTGTGTATTATTTAATGAATCCGAGTAGTTCCTTGGTAGTATCCGCCTGTGTAGGGCCTGCCAGTGCCGTACACACGGTATGTGCCAGTATGACCCCCGTTACCAGGACTACCAGTGCCATACGGATAGTTAGTATGCCCACGGCCCTGGGAGCCTGTGTACACACCCGGTCCATAAGAGGTACCTCCATAGTTATAACGTCCAGTTCCCTGCTGGCCAGTTACCCCATAATAGCCGTTTGGAGTGCCGGTCCCACTCCAGCGTCTGGTCTGTCCAGTGTAGTAGTAATTATAAGTCCCGGTGCCATACGTCTCAGTGGTGTAGGCGCTGGACAATGATGAACAAGTGAGTATTATGGCAAATGCCATGATATGACATAATTAAAAATGTTATAATTATGAAAAGTTTATAATTGTTACATGATAGTTTAATAATTTTTTTTAACTTAAAACTAATGAAATTATATCTAGTTTAGATAATTAATAATAAAATGAATAATAATTTCTAATGTAGTAATAATTATTTGATAAGTTAGGTTGTGAGATACAAACAAATAAATTACCCGGTAACATTTTATGATAATCCTGATGAAAATGCAAATATATTAATAGTTTTGGTAAATAATCCTAAAATAAATTTTTAATGTTTAGCTGATAAACTATACTTAAAAATAATAGTTTTAAATGAATTTAATTTTTATTACTTATATTAGATTGCATACAATGATGCATATAATGTTTAATTATTTTATAATAAAATATTATGTGAAAAACATATTTAATTTATTATTTAATTAGTTTATTATTATTAATAGTGTTTTCTATGAAAAATACATTTTCAATATCAATGCCAAAGTGCTAACAGTATTTTTTAGGAAATCATTTATCAATAAACTGAATTGTATAGATTCACATATTTTGAATAAATAGTATTTTTATGAAATACATATTTGATTAACAAACGAAAGAAAATTATTCAAATACTTTCAATTTTTATAAGCAATTTTATTATGTTAAAAATGTACATTTATATATTATTTTAAAAATAAATTCTATTATTATAAAATTTTCAATTGAATGTAGTACGGTACTAGTATTGTATAACACAAAAATATACGATTAATTGATATAAGTACTATACATATTAATGAATTATTAATTAAACAAATATTTTTTAAAATTTAATATATAAAATAGATGTTTTTTGTGTGTAAATTATTTTTAACATAAATTTTTTAAATATTGAATTTAAATAAAAATTAAGTAATAAAGTAATTGTATACAAATTGAATGTTTTTAAAAAGATTTACGATTAATATAATTTATCTGAAAATAATGACATATTTCCATAAAATACGCAACAGGGATGATTATTGATCCATTTATCAAGATATAGAAAGCAAATTTTAAATTCGTCCATGTTAAATCAAAATATTCTATGTTATTGTTAGCAGTACTATATTGTTGGTATTTTACAAAATTAGTTTTCATGAAAATATTTTTAGTCCAATGATCCATCAGATTTGCCTCACGAATATGGGATATACTATTAATAAGATAAAATTTAATCAAGCATAAAATTAAATATTTAGAGAAATTTACATTTTGTTTAAGCTGTTCAAATAATTAGATTTTTTCGGTAACCCAATCCCAGAAAGATACAAGGTTATTTGAATATCATCAAGATTATTTGATATGTAATACTTTGATATACTTTGCTTTAATATTTGATAAACAAGTATATCTTTTACATCAATTATAGAATATTTAAAATGGTCACGTTTTAAATATTCATATATATTACCATTATCGACAGCAAGGTAATTAATATAAGTACCACCATATTTAACATATTGCTTATTAATTTGTTCCTAAATAATTTTAAAAATATTTTAATTACATACAATTATATACTGTATAGTTTATTAAAACCTACTAGCACGTAATGATTAACGGACCCATTACCAACAATAATTTTAATGTTACCAGATATATGATTTTTAACTAGTTCACTTAAAGTTTCTATTTTATATTGTATGGGAATACTCATTAGTGAGTGAATACAGCCCAAATAACAAGCATCTATTATAATAGTCATTAATAACCAGGTAAATATAAATGGCTTATTTTTAGCATTCATAAATGATTTACATCCATTTTGTCTTAGATATACTACTAGGACATCCCAACATA